TGGTCCAATACGTTTTAGCGGTTATATACGGAACACACACACACACATCACCGCGCCCCAAGAGCCAGGCGTTCAAGGAACCTGTGCCAGCCAGGTGGATCTATACTCATGGTTTTTTTCCAGAAGGAGGCTCAATCCTGTGAGCTTGAAAGAGAAAGCGCCTTAAGTCTTTCAACGAGGTTCTGTATGCAAAAGGTCATGAACCAAAAGGTGGATCACTTGTCCTCTGCTAAAGACAAAAATCTGTTGATCCTTAGAACCTGGTGTCATAGCACATCACACCGCGAACCAGGCAATCATGGTGTGGGGGCTTCCGACTCCAAGGACAGGATCTGTGTGACGGTTTTTCTCAGATGCCAGTCTTCTCTATCAAAACATGTTTAAGACAAGTTTGTCTCTAGTGACTCTAGTGTGGACCACACACATTTCCAGGACCGAGTCGGGGCGCGGAGGTCTCCTTCACCACAAGGCGTGGATTCCGAAGATCAAACCATGTGGGCGTATGAACTGAGAAGTTGAGCACCTTGTGTGAAGGATCACCACGCACCACTTCCCCCCATCTGACACCAGCCCCCACGCCACATGGAGAGGCCTGGCGGAGCTTCGCGGGTTGGCGCTTCATGCGGGGAGCGCAGAGTTCAGTCGTGGAGAGATTGAGATTGTGTGCATTTTGTTACCCGTTGGACTCGTTGGGCATTCATTTAGAACTTCAGGGGTTTTGGTTCAAAGCAGTCTCAACTGCGACTGCCATGGATTTGCAGTCGCTTCTCAACCAGAAGCAGTTACCCAAGAAGAGGCCTGCTGCTGACCTAGTGCCGACACCGAAACCCATGCCAAAGAAGAGACCCGCTGTTCCTTTGGTCATCAACAGCGATGATGATGACAACTATACGACAGAGCTGCTCTATGTTTGAATTTAGACATAGAAACAGCAAACTCATATGTACCTATGAAACATTATGAAACAGTTGAGAAATCGAAGGGACGTCCATTTCTTCCAATCTGAGGCCACCCTATCCCTTTCCTAGGACTTCCGAGCAGATGGGGTTCCTTGGCACAAATCAACAAGCGTTAAATAAAACAACATGTTCCAACAAACAATGTATAGTCTCAGGCTTTGGGCCCGTGTTCTGCTCTCGCGGGCTGCGATGGTGCTTGGAGAAGAGTTTGTGAAAACGAGATTAAGAACCATGATTGCAAACAAGAAGAATGTTCTATCAATGTGTGCCTTTTCACATATTCGAATGTCCCTGACCCAAACAGACTTCAGGAACCATTTCATGGAACTGCTTCGACTTGTTCGGTGGCGTGCTTTGCATGCGGCGGGCCTGGGAGGCCATTGAAGCAGCCAGCATGGAGATGTGGGGCATCAAACCAGTCCTGCAATTTGGTTTCAACGTTCCTTATTCAAAAACTGTTGAACATTCTTGAGACCGTCTGAAAGAGAAAATAGTCTGTGCTAAAAATAGAAAAGATGTCCGGGTTACTTCCCACGTTCCCAGGTTGAATGCAACAAGGCTTGTGTGAAGCTCTGCTCAGAATCCTACAGCAAATGCCTCTTCAAGAACATATTGGACATGGTGTCCCCAAATTCTAATGGTGATTGGGCACCTTCAAAGCTGCGGCTGGCCAAGAGGGCGCCGTGCGCTAAACATGGGAAAGAGCAGCTTGACATTAATCACAGCAAGTTGCAACATCATAAGTAGGGGTTCCAGAAACAAACCGACCCAGGTGTGCAATCAATATCACCTCGGATGACGTTGGCTTGATTGGGGCCCCATGCGTCCTCTTCAGCAGGCTAGGGCCCGACTCTTGTTTGGCAAGCCCCGCAACTTATATTGCGTCACGCGCAGGTACGGGCTTGGAGAGGGCTTCACCAACATTGCGAAGTCAAAGGTGCACCATGCAGCCATGAAGATCCAGCAGCGGATTGCAATATCCCTTCATGAGAATGTACCGGACTTTGAAGAGGATCTTGGGGGTATGTCTTGAACCTGAACTTGAACCATGTTTACTTCCTCCACACACTTGAGAGTAAAAACTTCTCACAGGAGTATTTGCACAAGCACCTGAAATGCCACAAGATCCAGACGGTCCTGCCGCAAGCTTGGCCAAATTCTTTCACCTCAGCGGCTTCTCTCTTTCAACTTGATTTGATGCATCCCAAGGTTGGACCCTATGATGTTTGGCATTCCCAACAGCAGGCTTCGTGCGTACCGGATTTGCTTCAACACAAAGCTGAAGAAGTGGACTTGTCAGCTTACTTTGCAACAGTTAGCTGACATACTTCTTGCTAGCAAAAACGCTCAGCTTCCATTGGACTACACTGCCTTCATGGTGTCTACAGGGTTCGAGAAACTGCCGGTGTTCCAATCAGACCTCACAGAGCTACTTGCTGTAACTCAGAACCACAAATGTTTATCTTTTTCTCTCACCATCTATGGCGCTGGTAGTGACAGTTCTCTCCGGCAATCTGAGGTGCCAAACTCGCCATTTGGAGATGTTCAGGCAGGTGGCTCCTGCCAAGGAGCTGTATGATTTGAGTGCCAATGTCTTGAAACGCAAGCGGACCGAGCTGGTCAATAATGCGCTGCCATGCCTCACTACTTCTTCTCAGTTTTGGTGTCTCGCTAAAAGGTAGATTGTGTTTAGAAAAGCTTGTGACGCGGTAGATGCAGTCTAGTTCATGTGTGACACTAAGTGGAACCCAGTGTTTGCCCATTGGCAAAGGTCTGAGCAATGTGAACGTCTCTGGATGGGTAAAGAGCAGCTTGGTGCGCTGGGGTTCCCTTGCTTGGGGAGAATCGCAGCTTCTTCCCGAGTGGATGCTCAGAAAGAAAAAACAACATGATGAAATATGTTCATTTCAATTTAGTTTAGTTTTCCTTGTGGCCATCTCAAAGGCTCCAAAATGTCTGTTCAAATCAGGACCTGGTGGATGTTTCTTCCTACACGGAGGCGTCCTTGAGGAAGATGGCGGGAAACGGAATGAGCTTGCCTTGCGCAGGCTTTGTATTGTTGATGGCAGTCTTGTGCCTAGACAATGTGTGAATCATCACCTTAGACGGACCGTCTTAATTAGATTGTATTTAGCCTTTGCGTGACATCACAGTGCAAGAAACTATGATCCAATCACTATAGTGCAAGATGCTGCCGTCCAGTCCGGGTGTGAAAAAACAATGACTGCCCTTGAACCATTTTTGGCATTGTTGATCTATTGGAAGCTTTGTTGATGCAAACCTGTTCAACACTGAATGCGCCAACTGCCGTCGTCTTTGACAGGCTGACAAAGCATGTCTGTGTTTGGTAGGGAACCACCTGAGAAGGAGTCTCAGCCGCTACCATTTCTTTCATTGCGCCATGCCCAGCCCAAGCCTCGTCAAAGGCCAGCTGCCTTGTTTGCCCCAGAGGGGGACGAGCCAGGTTCCTCCTGCCAACAGAGACGGGGAGAGCCCAAAGTCAAGGCAAGCTCAAAACCAGTGAAACGAGTAGCTTTGTTTCAAGATGAGGATGATGAGGAACCCCATACTGTGCAAAGGGCATCAACATCAACTGCCTCACATACACGATGTTTGTTCCAAGATGAATCAGATGAAGAGTCTGCTTCAAGCTCATCTTCTAACATCAGGGAGGAGCAGGGCTCTGTACCAAAAGATGCATCCGAATCCGTCTTTGCTTTGGGGTGGTCTGCCATGACTAGTTTCCAGAACGCTCATTTTTGGGAGAGAAAGGTAGAAGGCCCTCCAAAAAAGAAGAGGGCATACAACAATGAGAAAAGGCGTGAAGAGGCTGCCTACTCGAGGAACTCCAAAGGTGTTTTTACGAGAAGTGGCAGTGACATGGAGAGGGTGAGCACTTTGATCCAACAAGAGTCCTGCCTATGCACCCTGTACTATTATTGTGACAGAATGGTTGTTTTTTGTCTCTTTACTCTGTGGGTCTGTGATTGTTCAACCATGTTCAACCCAATATCATTATCGTCGCTCGATTCAAGGCGCCAACAAGGTGTGCTTCAAGCAGTTTGCTCAATCCAAAGAACTACCTGCTTTTGTTTCAAAGTTCTGGGGCCTTTCAAAGCAAGATCAAGATTCACTGGTTCCTTGTCAAACAAACACTGTTCAGTAGTTTTCATATTATATCATGGTTTGGTCGATGATAGTATGTAATCATATGATATCCTGTCCAGAGGCAGTTTGGGTATTAAGCTATTGGACAACTAAGTTACACTTCGCTTCTGGAGATGCTCTTGGCAACAGCGCCTTTCGCTTGCTTGACCAAACTGTTGGTGCGAAGTGTCTTGCGCGTCCCCTGGGCGTAGGGTCCAACAGGTTGAGGAAGTCCATGTCTGGTGCCCCTGACCTCAGATTTGGCCGGCGTGAACATCGGAGCCGGCCACAGACCTATACAGTGGACGCTTTCTTACAAATAGCATACGAGTCCATAGCAGAAACCCTTCCAGACCGGCTACTGGGTAAAAATGACAACATCTTTG